ACTAATTTGTTGAATCGATAAATGAAATCCAGATCGATATCTACTAAAAATTATCCTGATATCCAATCGACCTAATACCAAACTTCGTGAATTGAAAATGTGTGTGGGTGAGGATTGATATAAGTGTAGGTATGAAAGTGAAGGATGGTTGTGAGTGTCAATGGATATAAGTGAAATAAACAAAATATCCACACGCATGTCCACTCACCTAACACCCACTTTGTTTTAACAACACACTTTGAGAAGAAAAAAAAGCGATGTTTTAGAGATGTACTACGACTTTGACGATTAGTGTATATCATCGAATCAAAGAAGTAATTCATTTTGTCTTCGAACTAATAATTATCTTCTTTAAATGGATGTATCACTTCGCTATTATGCGGTCAGTTTCATTCTTTTCTTGAGTTAGTTCATTTTCAATATACAACTAGTTCAAACAATGAATATGATAAATATTTCTTCTTTCAACTTTGCAATAAATGGCTGTTGGTTCGAATTGTTACATGTGCTATGATTGTATCAATTCTATTGATCTTGTAACTTTGGAAACTGGTGCGTTTGGCTATTGGTGCACAGCTACTAACGATATGTTTCTGTTCATAATTTGAATAAGAGAACGTTTTTCTTTTCTCGCGTTTCAGAAGATAACTGCGATGATAAAAGGTCGAGTATAAGTTATGTAAGTCGTGGTTCATCCTCTACTGATATCTACTATGAATATAACATTGCTATTGATGGTATTGGTTACTTTCGAAACTGGTGTACGAGAGATGTCTATTGTTCTTGTTGTTACCGTTGCTATTTTAAAATGAGTCATTGTCAACTGAAAAGAATATATTGACCAACAAATATTGAACAAAAAACTATTTTTCACTTTTTTTGCGTGATCTTATTTGTGTTTCAATTGTTGTGTTTTTTATCCTTGTATTATTATTTCTAAAGAAGGCTTCATTCCTTTGTATTCGATCCGTAAGTAAACTTCTTCAACTTCTTATTACTAATTTGATGCGAATTTGAAAAGAAATCAACAGATCGATGCTAGATTATTGTTTAATGCGGAGAAAAAGAAGAAATTGTAATTGATCTGAATACAAAGACTTTATTAGCTATTGTAATATCATGAAGTTAGTTCTATCACACAAAACAAAATTCGATAGTCTTAAATCGAACATATCAACATCAGGAAAAACGAGGAATTTGAGTGGTTCTGTAAATTTTTATACAATCCAAGATTTTCGTTATTGATTCTTGTTTTGAATTAATATCGGTTTTTAATAGTCATATGATAGATACTGTTATTTCCTTTCAAATGAACGATAAATTTATTAGGTACATCTGTTGTTGTAGGATGTTATTTATGTAAATGAAATTCACTTCCATTTCTTCGATCTCATACATATCCACCAATTGACTTTCACTGAATTTGAAAGTCAACTTTGACATATTTACACAAAAATGAATTTTCTTTCGCATGGATGACAAGCGTGGATGAGTGTGGATGTGAGGCAAATATATATTAAGGTAATACAATGAACACCCTCACCCTCGAGATAGTTCTAATAGTGTCCTTATGTTAGTAGATAACACTTTTTTTCTTTCATGAAAATTATTTTTTTCTTGTCCTTATTTAAAACGTCTATCGATGTACTTATGAATTTTTCACTTCGTTAGTATCTTGTGATGATTGGCATATCCTTGATCTTTTCTATATTTATGGTCAGTACAAAAAGCTGTATCAAACATAAAAAAAACCATTCCATGATTTCAGTCAAGCTCGATGTTTCTTTATATGAAGAATGTTTAACTCTTGTTTGCATAGCGAATCATGTCTATTTTCAATCAAGTGTACTTTTATTTTTACAAATCAAAATCAAGTTTAACAAAAAAAAGAAGCATTCTTAGATCATATAATTCATGATTAATCGATGCGTGTAGTTGTTATTTAACTATTTGATCCATATTTGAATCGAACCCTCCAAGTCTAGTTCTCTTTCGATAAAACACTTTGCTGGCAAATGATCTTTTAACCATTGAATAGCTTCATCTTTGTTTATTGTTGTTGTATCAAAAAATTTATCATTATTTTTTGATACAAACCAGTATGCAGAAGTCTTTTCATCTGTGAATTTAACATATAATGCTCGAAGATTGATCATATTTTTAATAAGAATAATAATATTTTCGAGATTTTCAACTCTAATATAAAGTACTTGACATTGAGTACCCAATAATGAATGACTCAAGGTAACACATTTTTCTTCATTGAAAAAATGATAATAATAATCTAAATGGAGTTTATGAATTGTTATATTTGTTAATTTGAATAATGATAATTGAAATGGTAATGAGGCATCTTGACGAATAGTTAATCTTTGTAGATGAAGTGCTTGATCAAGTAAAAATTGCAATTGAGAATAAAAACTATCAGTATAAGACGATACTGTAAGTGAATAGAGTCGTTTTAAACTTGGAACCATTGACCAAAATTGATTATTAATAGGAAGATTTATATAAAGATTCTGAATGTTTGGTAAACTAATATTGGATGGAATCGGTGGGTCAAAAAAACTATCACTACAAATGCGATTCATGTTATTATAATATTCTTGTTGATTATCTTGTGGATATGTCGATTGCCACGAATCAAGTTGTTTATATTCATAGCCATTAGATAATTTTGATAAAGAGTCAAGATGAATAGTATTGTCTGATGTAATGCATTGGATAAACCATTTATGTTCATCAATCCAAAATGAACTTCGAAATGAATTAACTAATTCATTCACTTGTTCTTGTATATTATGATTAACAACAAATCTATGTTTCATTTTGAGTTGAAATACTTTCAATTTTGGTAAATAGTTACAAATGATTTGTTCCCATTGATGACCATTGATTAATATAGACCCTAAAGTAATATCAAAACGACGTAGATTAGGTGTATTTTGTAAAAAGGAAATAATTCTCGATGTGTCAAGTGTAGAATAAATACTAATCTTCAAATCGATTAATGTTGGAAGAGAAGAAGATGGTATATAATTATCATTGGTATCAGAAGAAATTATTAATGAAAGATATTTAAGATGAGGTGTATATTCAAACAATTTGTTTATCTGATTCCATTTAAGTTGATTATTATACAGATTTAAATATTTGAGAGATGTTGAAATGTTTGATGGTATAGATAAAAAATTCCATCTTTGTATGGAAATATCATCATTACAATGAGTAAGTTTAGGTAAATTCCATATCATGTTGACAACTGATTGAAAATGTGATGGATTATAGTGATAAGCATAAGAACAAAAATAGAAATTTAAATAAATGAGATGATTAAGATGATGACATTCATCGACGATTTTCATTAATGTATTATATGAATGAAGATGAAATATTGAAAGTGATCGTAATTGAGTAAATTGACTAAATGATGGTATGTAAGATAGAAGGAAATTAATTTGTCCAGGAGTATTTTCACCATCACAAAGACTAAGACCAATAATTCGATCAACAATAAATGGTAAATGTTGTGAACATATTATATCAAAATTATATTTTGATATCCAATTAAATATGAAACGATAAGATCGATATTGTTTATAGAGAAGAAAATTGAAATGATAATTGAGACCATAAAATGCATTAAGAAGATCAACACCATTCAAATAATCAAATAGATCGAATAAAATTTCGTTCGGTGATAATTCGAACTTCATTTTGTTTTTCACTTTACTTACAGTTGTAAGTAATAAAGCAGAAAATAATGTTTCATATACAATTAATGTAGACAATAGATGAAGCTTGATCGTTGTACAGCTGTTTCGTTTTATTCCGTCGGCTCTAGGTTAATATATATATATCGACTATTGACATGGCTAGTCTGAAATATTGTCAGTATTCGTCATGACTGATTGCTGTAAACACTATAATGCCTAGTCCAGTTTGTATATTGACTTCTCCCTGAATAGGCAGCAGAAAAAAGAAAGGGTGGGGTGTGGTTATGGGATATGGGTGCAGGTGTGAATGTTGGTGTGCCTCTTTTCTTAATCCACATCAACACCCACATCCATATTAGATTCTCAGTTGTTCTGATCTCATATAAAAGCGATTATATGTGAAAAGTGCAACAAGAAGTGCCGTTATTATAGATGACATGATTATTGACATCGTATTCAAATAGCAGTAACACAAATTGAAATAACATTTTCATGACAGAAAGATTAGTAATAGTCTCTAATTATTCTTAATTTTTTTTTCATATATAGAGATCCTTTTTGAAAATACACTGTTGGATCAGATCTTAGAAAAAAGATTTACAAGATCTAAACTATAGAAAAAATTGATAGTTTTGAAAAATCCGGCAATATATTGTTAATAAGTGTAAACAGTTACTTTCTAACATGGATTTTTAAAGAAAATTAAATAAAAAAAATTAATGTCTTAAATAAAAAAGAAAAAAATTAATTTTAAAATGATTAGAATAAGCATTGTGATATGATTTTGCTTGTATCTTAAGTAGATTGATCTAGGAATTTCGAAGATAGTCAGGGTCCCGACGAGACTATGATCAATCTTTTATTTTTTACCGGGACTGGGATCCGAACTAATATTTTCAAGGTATTTTCGGTCTTTTTTTTTTTTGTATCAAGAATTAAACTATGCATTCTGCTATTCATTATCTATTTTATGATCAGAAACGAAAAGAAAGCAGTAATACTTTTTACAATTTCGATAAAATTTCCTCATTGATCCTCATTTTAATCTTAAAACTCGAAGGCTTTCGACAAGCTGTCCACTTTTTTGACTATATAATTCAACATATAAATATATCATTCTATAATAGTTCAACTATTTCTATATGAACTGTCTCAATAGACAACATATATATATGAGTCGCCGTTTGGGTGTGAGTGTGGGTGGGTGCGGAGTATGGCTGTGAAGGAATAGTGAATCACGCCTACACCCTCACCCACAAGCTATACCCACTCGTTTGAACTCGTATATTGAGTTCATAGATAGATCTAATCATCATTGGAATATCTCGAAAGTTTTAGCTGAAAAGAATGTTCCTTTGTTGAGATACTGAGTTTTATGACATGTCTGTAATAGGTGACTATTAATTTGAAATTCAATATCTTGACAAATGAACAATTTTTACGACTGAAACTTTCAGGATATTCACCAAGTTATTAGATCTATCTATGAACTGAGAATTTCAGATTGATAATTCTAATATTTGATTTTTCAGTAAGTACCTGAAAATGAATGGAAAATTCA